AAATGCATTGGTCTTTCTCTAGAAATTGCTAATTTTTCTTCTGTGGGGGCTGTGTCATTTTGCTTCCACCACATATACATCTCAGATGTATACCAGAAAAAGCTATTCTTCTCTTCGGGCCTCTAAGATATTTTGTTCATTAGGCAATTCTCAAAGATGTTCTCATTGGAAAAAACTATATGAAGTTCTTTGTTTATTTGTCCCCAAATGCATATGTAAAATTGCTGACTTAGTTTTCAAGTTGGAAAAATATCGCTGATGTAGGAAATCATCATATTGATGCCTAATGTGCTGGGATAGCAACTGTCTATCTCTCTTCCCGAGATCTCCTTTCATTTAAAAACAAATATACACCCCCCATCCCAATTTTTTTCCTTTAAATTCACATTCAGTACTTTATAATTGGGAAAGCAGTCAAATGCATTTCACTTTTAAATGAATGTTTTCCTGAAGCACTTAAATGTTTTCTGGAAACCAAATCTATGTTACTTCTATATTTTCCTTTACAAAGCTATCATTTCAAAGGTAGTTTAATCTTTATGACTGACATTTTCAATAGGCAATGTCACCTAATACATTGTTTTTATTTCAAAGTCCATCCTGTCAAATATCTTATCATTAAAAACAACCACTTAAGCTCATTGGACTTCCTATTTAAGGAATCCTTAAGTTAATCCAGTTTCAATATCACTGTTTTATAAGAAAATATGTACATGATAATTTTTATTCCCCAAATAAGGATACCATAGTATTGATACATGCAAATCTAGGCTGCATTTCAATCATCCAGAAATCAGTTGTAAGATAATCTCAGTCTCTTGGAACAAAGCAGTAAGACAAGTTGCTGACCCCAAAGTAAATTTTAAATTTACTTTCTATGCCCTTAATCAGTAGATGGGGCAGACCATACTTAAGCTCTCACCTAACCAATGAATATGTTAGGTAAATGCTGATTTTTACATTAGAGTTAATATAATGCACTGAGAGCAAAAAACAAGAATTACCTAACAAAGGTAAAACAAAACAACAACAAAAAAACCACATCGTAAGCAGCACCCAGGACATAAAAGTTATCAGTCTAAGACAATTTAGGAAAACGGTCCTAGACAGCATAACGGTCTCTGAGGAAATCACATAAATTCTGTGAAATGACTAATGTTCACAATAACAACTCTGACCCATCAAAAAAAACAAAAACAAAAACAACTTACATTATACTCAATTTGTTCTGTTTAAAAAGACAGAAGGGTACATTTTATATTTCAAAAACATTTTATAAAAAAATATTCATATGAAATAAACTTTGGCACACAAAAGGATAAGATTCAATTATTCACAAAATTAACAGATGAGGAAATAGTACACCACTTGTTAATAACAGGCCAATGAATGAGGAATTACTCTAAGTAAGATTCTCAAAGTTAGAATATACCACAGTTGCCTTTCAGAAGATGAATTGTAATAAAGTGCAGTAACATTTTGGGGGCCTTTAAACATACAATTCTCTGTGCAAGGCCACTTCTTGGTTAAGAGTCAAAAGAATACCTGATAATTTCTGAAAGCTAGTCATGCAAATTCTCCACTTCAATGGCTGGACACACTCAAGAATATATCCTGATTTCACTTTTCATTTTGTTTTCTTTAAATTGTGACTGCCACTAAGTAGACAGTTTGGTCTGGTTTCTGGCTCCAACCTTGTGCAATTCACTCAATCTCTTTAGCTCTCCTTATTTTCTTCATCAGTAAAGTGAAGAAGTTATAGAAAACATGATATAATAGTAAATGGAATCAAAGTGCTAATAAAGTAAAACAAAGAGTTACTACATTAGGTCCTATATCTGTATATCTACTACACATATACTATTTTTAAACTGTCACAAGTTACATGGCACTCTACCATATATTTAAGGCCTACAGTAAAGAAATTATGATCACTTCAGAATCTTTTCCAACACTTAATATGTGTCACTCTACCATATATTTAAGGCCTACAGTAAAGAAATTATGATCACTTCAGAATCTTTTCCAACACTTAATATGTGTCACTCTCAGGATACAACAACTTCCTCATGTACTCATTTAAATTAATTTAAAATACCACTATAATCAATTATCTTTAACCTGAAAATATATGACATTTTCCCACTTGACACATAAAAATCAACATATGATATGTAAAAGAACGTTCATGGAAATGTTAATTATAATAGCCAAACACCAGAAAGAACCCAAACACCCACCAAAAACAGAATGGATGAATTCTGTCATATTCATTCCAAAGGAATAACACATGATAATGAAAATGAATAAAATAAAACTACATGCAACTATGTAGATGACCTTCAAAACATAATGCTGGGTAAAGGAAGAAAGAATGCATATGATTCCAGACAATGGGGCTCACCAGTAGGCCCATCTGCGTCCCATGCTACCCCACAGGAGCACCCCACAGCTGCAGCAGTGTCACACTGCAGCAATCTAGCACCAACCCAAAGGGAAGTACAAAGGTCGTCACAGTCTCCAAGCTCAGTCAGGATCCAATATGAGCTCCAAGACTGGCTGTAGGGTCTGGACCCCAGCTCCACCACTCTAGCCACCTTTCTGTGTCTGTGATCACAGCTGCCACCTGCCAGGAACTACCAGACAAAGCACTGGAGACCCTGTGGTTAACACTGGTGATAGACAAGGATGGGACCTCTGTGGACTGCAAGGACTTCTTCCAATTGTTGGAAGAGGATACATGCCTGATGATGCTGGAGTTCAAGCAGAGTTGGAGCCCCAGCAGGAGTAGGTGCTATCATATGGCCTAGGCTGGGAGAAGCCCAAGCACAGCAAGGACATCGCCCTCATTACCTTGAACATATACAAGCAAAACCCTTGAGACCTCTTTGGCCTGAACATCAAAGCCACACTCTACAGGATCTACTCCATGCGTTGTGACTTTCAAGTACTTGGCCCAAAGAAAGTACTCAGGGAGCTCATCCAGTTGAACCTCCATGATGCTGCTGCAAGGCCTGAGCCACGTTGCTGGGAATTTCCTCTACCATTTGCAATGCAGTGGAGGAGGCTGAGCAGTGACAGTGGCAGCAGCAGGGTCCCCTCCATCCCTACTGAGAAGGGGCTCTGAGCTTCTGCCCCAGACTCGTTCCAAGAGATACCCTGTGAGGACTGTGACAGCATCAGGTTTGGAGACCTGGAGGCAGTGCAGACTAGATAACTCACCTGACTTCCCCCATTATTCTCTGACAGCACTGTGATAGGTTCCATCAGCATAATGCTTTCCATGCCTAGCCTATACACTTTCCTCAAGAATGCTGTCCTTTCCTAGCGATCTTTCCAGCCTCTCACTTACCCTGAAAGGCTACAAACTTGTCCCCAGGCATCTTGATCCCATTCTGATTGCAGCTACATCTAAATTCCTTACAACTCCTCCTGTCCCTAAGCTCTTTAGTACAGTGAAGTCAGCCCTCTGACTTTACCTTAAGCTCTCTATTTCTTCATACCCTTCCCCTTAAAAATAACAAAAACACTTCCAACAAAAATACAAAAAAGTTTATCCAAAAAAAGAATACATATGAGTCCATAAAGATTAAAAAGAGGCAAAATGTGAACACACTGCTGAGGAATACACATAAAAGTGATAAAATTATATAGAGAATTATCTAGTTATCACAAAAATCAGGACATTGGTTACCTCTAAGGAAAAGGAAGATTATACCAAGAGCTTCTGGTATGTCAGTAATGATCTATGGTTACTGAATGTCTGCTTTATACTTATTCATTTTATGTTTCTATATAGTGTTATATTTCATAATAAAAATATTTAAAATGATATACTTTCTGAAAAAATATATTCTGAAAGAGAAGGAAGAAAGGGCTCCTCTTTTTTGCTAACAATTTTATTTTCTTGGTCTACATTTCTAATTTTTATTGCAATATTTTAATAATAAAGAAATAAGTTACTATGCCTAATTCTCCAGAATCTTTATAAAGAACAGATTTTACAGGCTTTTCAAATGGCCACAAAAAAAGTACCAGGTCATTAAAGAGTATAAGATCAGTTATTTTGTTAAATTTTTGCTTAGCTCAATGTTGTGCCTGTTGCTTTTTCTTCTTTTCAATAAAATGTATGCTTACTTTCAAAATAAATCTATATTACACCCAGATATTAATTTTATGCAGGCTGCACTCCAAAAAATATATAATAATTTAGCTCAAAAGTAGGAAGAAAAACTTTTAACTCTCACACATTTTAAAACAATTTTAGGAACACCTGTGTTTGCATTCAGTATGAGGGTTCATAATAGGATGGACACAAATATGACACTTGAGATCCAATCCAATGTCACTCTGTGTAAGAATGGTTCACTGTGTGCACTAGAAAACATAACCACTAGATTACAGGATGGATATACAAAACAAGTTACACTTAAAGTCCACTGTATAAAATGTAATGTAGGGTAACTCACTCAAAATAGATCCAACAGTGTCTAATTTAAATTATACTAAAGATGTTTTAAATAGTTCCTTTGGAAAAACACAAAGGGAATTTAAATGATTACAAACGAGATAATAATAATAATCAGACAGATTACAAACATATACACACACATATAATTTAGGAAATCCTAAAAGTTACATCACCTACAAGCACCCTTCAATGTGTTTGTTACAACTTTTAGATGCCACTAAACAGGAAGCAGACAATAAACCTTAGAAACAAGACTATCAGCACTTTCATCAGGCTTCAGATATCAACATAATGGGTATCACCCATTATGAAAACAGAGCTGCTTTGGTTGTATACTGTTGTTTTTTTGTGAATGCAGGCAAGGATTCCCCTCTATAGTGGGTCCAGCTAACCAGTTATTTGCCCATCTATTAAGTGCCAACTTTAAAAAATTATACTATGTCCAGCAGGGAGCAGCATTACAACATTCGTAAGACTTAACCACAACATGAAACCGACAGAAGAAAAAGAAGGAAAAAAACCCACTTACCATAGGTCTTTTCAATGATACATTCAATTTTTAGGGCAATTGCAGGGCTTCCAGAAAAAACATCTAAAGCATGTCTCAAAGCATATATAGGTGATCCATGGTTTCAGAATTCCTAAAGCAGGAAATCAAAATTATATTTAGTAAAGGCTTCTTTCAGCCATATTTAGTTGAAGTAGTATATAATATGACCAAGTGTCTCTCAGCTGTTAAGGTGCATCTTCCTTATTGGATCAATAGGATTCTGAATTCAGATATTCAATGACACTTCGGATAAAATGATTTTAAAAAGCAGAATATTAAAGTCCTTTGTTTACCAGAGAATTTAAGTAGAAGAAAGTAAATGGGTGACATAATACATCAATCAACCTAGAGAAAACTGTGGTCAAGGACTTAAAGGAGTTGATAAGCCAACCATATACAGTTATGATATATCAAATCCTTCTAAACAATTTGCAGGTAATAGAGAGGATATAAGATTCATTTCTACAGGTCAGCATGAATGAATATCTAGGGTTAGTTTTAGTTTTAAGAATACAAAGGCAGCAGAGAAGTAGTTTGTAATGCTGATATGTTAAGCCTGATTAGTGTGATATTTACTGAATATGAGGAATGCACCTGATATTGTAGAAAAACTGTGACCAGTCATAATACGTCAAAGGCAAAACATATTATGTTTGATATTCTCCTGGATGTCAAAACCTGCCTCATATTCAACAATAATAACTCATGTCAGTTCTTATGACTGAGGAAATGATGTATCACCACTGTTACGTGAAACATTCAACAGTTTGCTTTATATGTGTTTACATGCAAAGTTTCATCGTTTACACCAAAAACCAAATTTTTGCCATTAAAAGAAGATAACATATGAGTATTTACCTTGAAATGTATATAATATAAATAACATATATAATAAAAGTTTGTGTAATATATAATATCACATGTCAATATAACATAAATAATATATTGCAATTTAATGAATAATACATAAAATGGTTCCTACTATTTTCTACAGGGAAAATGGCATGAGAAGCTTGACTTAAGTGTATGATATCAAGACTACAGTTACTCTCTAATAATCATCATTAATTTGACTTAATTTGAAAGAAACTCTGATATATTCATCTTTTACCCTTTAATGCTAAGCTAGTCATAGCATTATTTCTTATTTTTTGCTCTCCTTAAAGTCTTCCCCATCCTATTTCTTGCCTTTGCTTTTGTACATTTCACTTTTCTGATACTTCCTCATTTTTGCCAATCTACCTTCCCTCTCCTTTATAATGCATTTCTGTTTCAACCCCAATTTTTGTTTTATTTAATCTCCTCTCTTTATGACCCTAACATCTTTCTTCCCTTTTCTCTTAGGACCCTTAAAAGTGAGGGTTGATTTTTTCTTTTTTGTTTTTTCTGTAACAATAATTGTGCTTAAATATACTCTTTCATCCACTTACAGGCACTGTGCTTGATCTTAATAATCCCACCTGTTTAGAACACTCAACTAAATATACTTAAATTATATTGCTGCTACTCATAAAAATATTTTTTCCTCTGAGTTACTGAAATATTTGAAGAACTCACTAAACATTTTGGAGCCAGTCTTTTTTTTTTTAAAAAAATTTATTTATTATTTATTTATTTTTGGCTGCGTTGGGTCTTTAGTTGCGGCACGCAGGATCTTCGTTGAGGCATGCAGGATCTTTCATTGCGGCGCATGGGCTTCTCTCTAGTTGTGGCGTGCGGGTTTTCTCTCTCTAGTTGTGGCATGTGGGTTTTCTCTCTCTGGTTGTGGTGCGTGGGCTCCAGAGCATGTGGGCTCTGTAGTTTGTGGCACACAGGCTCTCTAGTTGAGGCACGTGAGTTCAGTAGTTGTGGTGTGTGGGCTTAGTTGCCTGGCTGCATGTGGGATCTTAGTTCCCTGACCAGAGATCGAACCCACGTCCCCTGCATTGTAAAGGCGAATTCTTTACCACTGGACCACCAGGGAAGTCCCTGGAGTCAGTCTTAAAACACCCCAAATCTCAAGAAAATCTAATCACACACTCCTTCCATTCAATTTGAGAGGTGATTTAGGATCTCACTATATGGTGTGAATAAATACTGAGTAACAAACTTTAAGTTAACAGAACTTTGCTTTATTCATGTGTGTGTATGCCCATGTGTACAATATCCTCATCAAAAAGCAAAGATGCATTAAAGAACCCCATACTTCTAATATATATTATAAAGTCTAAAAAGAAAAGTGATTTCCCTATTTGGCACTTTCTAATATGAATGTTAACATTAACAGTATTAGCATATGGTGAAATAATCTCACAACAAAATATTATGCAAAACTTTGAGTTTTAAAAATTATAAATAATTATATAACATTTATAATATAATTACCTAAAAAGAGACTATAGTGGGTTGAGTAGTGTTCTCCCTTTCCCCCAAACTCATGTCCACTTGGAACCTCAGAATGTGACCTTATTGTAATACTGGATCTTTGCAGATATAATCAAGGTAAGGATCAATATGAGATCATATTAGATTAGGGTGGGCCCTAAATACAATGAGAATGTCCTCAAAGGAGACCGAAAAGGACACACAGAGACACAGAGAAAAAGACAATGTGAAAATGAAGGCAGACATTGAAGTTATGCTGCCACAGCCAAAGAAAGACAGGAGCCACCAGAAGCTGCAGGAGGCAGGGAAGGATCCTCCTCTAGAGCTGTTGGAACAAACATACTTCTGTTGACACCATAATTTTGGACTTCTGGCCCTGGAAACTGTAACGAAGTAAACTTCTGTTGCTTTAAGCCACCAAGTTTGTGGTAATTCGTTATGGAATTCCCAGGAAATTAAAAAGATTTTGGTACCAGGAAGTGGGGTGTTGCTGTAACAGATAACAAAAAATTTAAGAAAAATAATAATGACTGAAGAGACTATTGGTAGATTGCCTTGAAGAGCCATCTGATATTGGATTGACCAAAAAGTTCATTCAGGCTTTTCCATAAAATGGTACATAAAAACCCGGACAAACTTTTTGGCCAACCCAATAGAAATAAGAGACGTTAAGGAGATTCTGGTGAATGCTCAGAAGGAAGTGAACAGGATGGCTGAGAACACTTGTATCATCTTAGAGAATACACTTATTTGTCAGGAACAGAATGTTACAGAAATATGAACATTAACTGGACTTCTGGTGAAGTCTCAAGAAGGGAATGAGAGATGTTATTGAACACTAGAGGGAAGGCAGTCTTTGTTACAATGTAGCAAAACTGACATGTGTTCTAATGTTGGGTGAAAAGTAGAACTTGTAAGTGATGAGCCTGAATGTTTAGTTGACATTTCCAAGCAAAATGTTGAAGGCATTTACTGGTTTCTCCTTGCTAATTATGGTAAAATGTGAGAGAAAGGAGATAAATTGAGGAATGAAAAAGGATAAAAGGAGATAAACTGAGGAAGTTAAGCAAAAAGAAATCAGTACTTGATGATTTGGAAAATTCTCAGCATATCTAGATTGCAAAAGATGCTAACATCACAAATCATTAGGAAAATGCAAATCAAAACCACAATGAGATACCACTTCAAACTCATTAGAACAGCTATTATCCAATAAAGAAAGAACGAACAAAAGTTGCTGAGGATTTGGAGAAAATGGAACCTCTCTGTACTGCTGGTGGGAATGCAAAATGGTTAAGCCACTGTGGAAAACACTTTGGTAGATCCTTACAAAGTTAAACATATGCTGCAGCAATTCTACTCTTGGTTATACCTAAAGGAATTCTAACAGATACTTGTACTCTGATGTTCATTACACCAGTATACACAATAGGCAAAAGATGGAAACAGAACAAGTGTCTATCAACAGATGTATGGATAAACAAAATGTGCTATATACGTACAATGGAATACTATTCAGCCATAAAAAGGAATGAAGTTCTGACACATGATACAAGATGGATGAATTTTGCAAAACACTATACTAAGTGAAAAACACTATGCAAATGCTAACAAAGAACAAATATTATACAATTTCACTTATGTGAGGTACCTAGATAGGCAAATTCATAGAGACAGGAAGAAGAATAGAGGTACCAGAGGCTGCGGTGATGGAGTGGGAAGGTTATTGCTCAATGGGTAAAGCATTTCCCTTTGGGATGATGAAAAAGCTCTGGAAAAATATAGTGGCAATGTTTACACATCATAAATATACCTAATGCCATTGAATTGTACACTTAAAAATGATTACAATAATAAATCTTACGTATATTTTTATCACAAAAAGATTTTTCCTATGGAAAAAGGACCCAAGACCTTGAGCCAGATGCAAAGGCTGACATAACTACTTCAACTAGAGAATCAAGACTGAGCTACTGATAAGCTCTAAAATGAACATATTCCAATGCTCAATGAGAGAAAATGATCATCATATATGATAGTAATTCATTAATTCCATGTGAGTTCATTTAGGAAAAGTTAATAGAAAAAGGAAACATGAGCTGCTTTTTAAATTTTTTTAAAATAAACTTAGAATACCAAACAGACTACAAAATTAATTTCAAATCTTTCACTCTGGAGAATGGTAAAATTATAGTACAAAATGGTCTTTAATTTTTTTTTTTAACTTTGCATTTTGGGGAATGAAAAAATATAAAAGGTAAAAACATGGCCTTAAAATTCTAAAGATTTTTAAAAGCAAATATATTTAAATGATTAAAAATCTTGTTTCAGTGCTGGACAACTCTGATAAAAAGTTCTTTAATATGAGTTGAAACTGAAATTTCTATGCTTTGGAGAAACAAAGGGGTCTAATTTCTCTTTCACAAGATTAAGACAGGTCTTCTGAAACTCAAAATCATTCACCTCTGTGTTAAGTATGTCTCACTTACTACTTGCTGTTTCATATCACAATCTCGAACCATCCTGGTTACTATGAATTTACTCATTTTATCAAGACAAATATGCCTCATTCCTTACTCAAATATCCATAAACTGGCTAAATAAAAGGCTACCTTTAGGATACTAATGCTGAGTTTGGGTCCAGGTACAAATTGTAAATAAGCTTGAATTTTGTCATCAGACAGCTCATCACGGTTGTGAATCCTAGCTCTATCATTTACCAGCTAT